CCGAAAATGTCCCCAATTTGAGCTGCTCTTCATATTAGTGACAAACAATAACAGTAACAGCTTTTTGACAAGTTTAAATTCTCTTTAAAATACATTCAAAATGTTTAAAAATTTAAAGTACAAATTAAAATATAGTTGTATCTGCAACTGTATTTGATAATGTTTTGAACTTTTAAAACATTGCATGGTAAAAACAGAGGCTGCACTTCAAATTAGTGACAAACTTTGACATTTTTTGATGAGTTACTTTCATTTTTTCTTCTACTTTTAATTTAAAATAGGTTTCCATTCTCAGCAGGTTTCTAAGGTTCTTCTTCTATGTATTAAAAAACGTTGTTAAGCAACTGAGTGGCGCACTACTGCTACTAGTGGTGAGAAAGTGTATTGCATTTTATTCAAAATCTATGCGGTCCCACGGCCCTCTGCGGACCAAAGTTAAAACTGTTGTTCTTTTGAGGCCCTCAAGGTGGCGCTTTAGGTTAAGAATCTCTGGACTAGATGACTCTTAACTCATCACCCACGGCTGGAAGATCTGGCAGAATTTTCTTTAGAGCCATCACGATAATCTGAGCATCCTTAAGATTGTCAGAAGGGCACAAACCAGCACGATTATCCTGCCGTGTGAACCCAGCCTAACCTGCAGCCACAGGATTACTAGACTGCAGCACTGAAGTGTTTAAATGACTTAAAAATATCAAACTCAAAAGAGGGTGACGAGTTTATCAGAGAGGACACCTTTATAAAATACGAACACGAACACTGTCAAGGATCACGATGACGGGTTGCTTGTGTGTGTTTTGCAGGTGACACGCCTTCAGTATCTGAACGCTCTCATGGCGTCACGTGTCGGGCAGAGTCCAGATCCTCCAGAGATCAAGATTCTGCCCAACAGTCAGACCAAGCTGCTAAATGAGAGAAACACAGCACAAGGTAGCTTTGCTCAAAACGTTGTGTGACCTGCCGGGTCTGCTGCCTCGCCAACCTCCCAACATTCTCTGTTTCACATTGCCTTTGTAGCCTTTGTAGAACTGTGCTTTTTCTGTTTGCCTTCAACTGAACTAAAAGAATTTTCTCTTTCTCTTTCTTTTCCCTCCTTGTGTGCCTCCTCTTGTCTCTGGCCCACCCAGAGTTTCCTGTAAACTTTTCTTTTTTTGATACCATTGACAACTACTGTTAGGGTTTCTGTTTGTTTTTTTTTTTGCATGAGGTAAACAAGTTCAGCCTGTCCCTGACTAAACACACAAAGATACTTTCACCAGTTGTTCTAATGGGCATTTTTCCACTCCTAAAAACATGTCAGAATGTGCGTGCGTGTGTGTGTGTGGTTGTGTTTTTCCATTCAACCTTGTTTTTTCCGCTTGTCTTAAATCAGTTTTTCTGTTCTTTAGGTACAGTAGATAAAATCCTTTAATGTTTGCTAAACATCAGAGTCACAGATGGAGATGAACTGTCTTCACTGGCTTTATTATTGGAGGCTTACTTTTAAATGACTCTTGAAGTCTTTAAGGATAATTCAGCACAGTATTATGCTGCTTTATTTCCATTGAGGTATTCATTATCAGGGTGTCCGTGGGTCCTTAAAAAGTCTTAAATTCACATATCTAAAATTAAGACCTTAAAAAGTCTTAAATTTGTTAAAAAATGTGCAAGTTGGTCTTAAATTTGTTACTCAAAGGTCTTAAATTTTGTCAGGCAGAAGCGATTAAAGTTCTCCGTCTCCCCCAGCCGTCTCTGCAGAACCATCGCTTATATTTTCGGTCTTAAATTTCATTCAAGCTGGTATTAAAAAGGTCTTAAAAAGTCTTAAATTTGACTTGCTAATACCTGCAGATACCCTGATTATGGTTCTTGCAAACTTTGACCTTTTTCGTTTTGGAGAAATTCAGTGTAACATGAGAACAAAGCATAAACAGCTTAAAGTCAGTTTAAAGACTGAAACGTGTCTGAATACACTTAAATTATTATTTGTAAATGGTCAGTTTAATCTGCAGTATTACAGTAGTTCATCCAAGTTATTTCCCTCCAACAAATGACTTTTAGTTTAAAAAAAAAGAAGCCTAAAAGATCTTGGAATTTTTTTTTGCACTTTAGCTTTGATTCATGTCTTAATATTCAAATGAAAAGATGCACCTCTGAAGTAAAAATGGCTCCTTGGATGGTTTTGTTAGATTTTTCAGTCTTTGTCTCATTTTCTAACTGAAGCCTTGTCCACACAGAAATGATGGGCATGTTTTACTTGCCATTTCTCAACATTTTTCATGTGAACTCAGCTCATTTTCTAGAAATGTCTCCATCCATACAGAAACAATGAGAACCGCCTTAACGGGTGCATTAACTGTGGCAGGCCTGTACGAGGCACCGTACCACTGCCACGACATGACGGCAGAAACAGGAAACAAGGCGTGGAGCACGTGCACCAGGGTTGGGCAAAATCATATTGTGTGCAATTAATCATCAGTTAATATTTGCCACTTTGCGATTAGTGCCATGTGATCACGTATTTTTGTGTGCGACACATTAATAATATTAAAATTAATAATAATATTATCAGTGTCAGGCATGCTGCATGTGAGCCTAAAGGTAGGAGGCGGCGTGGAGCAGTTAACACAAACTCTACAAACTTGTTTAATCACCTGAAACACCAACATAAACTGGAGTGTGAGGAAAGTCAGAAGATGTGGATCAAGGCCACAACATCAGCTACATGCAGCTGAAGTTATCTATTAACTATCGGCTAAATGCCCAACCGTAACAGGCACACAGCGTCTACATCAGGCAGGAAATGTAACACAACACCCCCCCGTTCGTAGATTAGACTAGAGGTGGGCCGATGATGCCGTAGTTTTCAAAAAGTTTAGTTTTGGCTGGCCACACGTCACACAGGTGAAGTTATTTTTTCAGTCTAGAGGCAATAATTGTTGCAACATTTTTAAAGTTTCCTAAAACACTGTTTAATTTGTGTTTGAAATGGTTAAAAACAGCAACTGTGTTTTCATGGGAGAAAAAAAACAACTCGAGTGGACGGATGCTTAAAAATGTTTTTTTAAACTAATATTTTATGAGCCATCCACACCGGAACATTTTATTTTTTATTTAATTTTTAATCATCTCAGCCTGGCGTTCACACCCAAACACTATTTTTGAAGCTAAGAAACTGTATTTTTGGAAGAATTTCAGAGTAAAATATAAAAAAAAGAATAAAAAGACCTTCCTGTCTTCCCAAATAAGTAAATATTTTATTTACAGTGGTTTATACAGTAGTAATATACTCTAAACTAAAAACTAATAAAACTGTTTCAGTAAAGTCAAAACAAGATGCACCTAATAAATGTTGTCTATGCTTTGATGGTTTGAACAGTTTTACAAAGAGTCGAGTCGATTATCTCTGCTGCTTTAAAATGTTCCTCATCTTCAGCTGAACTTCATTATAAAGCACCTTTCATACAAATTAAAGTTATTCTGATAAACTAGTGATTGACAATCTAATCAAAACAGAACAGCTTCATACTAATGCTATTAAAGTTGACATGTCTTGTTAATACATGTTTAAAAAGGTAGGTGTTGTTAGATGTTTAAATTTAGATGTTGAAGAGGTAGTACGGAGCCCATCAAGTGACATAGGTTAAAAAATGTAATGCATTGCCACTAGAGATGCTCGGTATTGACTTTTTGCCGATATTCGGTATGCCGATATTCTTCAACACTTAATTTCCGATTCCGATATTAACCGATATTACAAACCGATATTAAGGTGACATCATATATCGCCTGTCAGGGACATTATGCCTCATTTTTGATACCCCACTGGATGCATTCCATAGAGAAACATTGTCTGTACAAAAAAAAATTAACTAAAGTTAGGGGAGAAGTGCCATATTTATTTTTAACATTTTGTCTCAAACAATAGTTTGGACCATGCTCCCCCTGAGATAATCCAGTTTGATGATGTCATCAATCGCACACCGGTGAACATCTCTGGACCACAAGCATTTATTAACACATTTTGGTCAAATCCAGGCATCAATTTACCGGGCTTTTGTTATCAAAAGAAAAATCGATACCAATATATAGAGATTTTACATTTTTATGCTAATATCGGACCTATAATATCTGTAGGCCAATATTATCGGACATCCCTAACTGCCACATATTATTATCTCGTGACCATGACATAATAAATTGTGGCCACACATTAATTTTTTCTCTCCAATGTCACTGGACGGGCTTCGTTAAAAAAAAGTTCATCAAAGTGTTTCTAACCCTCCTGCTGCCCTTGGCTCAAAATAACTGGTTTCCAAGAGCAGCAGGAGGGTTCTATATGTATAAATTATATTTATATATTATATTTATATATCGTATAACACCTCATCCCTGAAGCGCATGTGAACAATAAAACCAAATATTGCTTTTTTATATAAAGACATTAAAAATAATGCAGTAAAATAAATCAGGTAGTAAATAAACTGATTTTTTTTTTGTTATTAATACTAAAAGCACTTTATTCTTCAGCTGTTTACAGTTGTGTTTAATATAAGTATTCTGCTAAAAATCTCTGTTTTTAATTGTTTTTGTCTCACCTGAGCACTTTACCTGATTTCTACTGAACCTCAGTAATTGTATAATATTTAGCTGCTTTCAGGAAATATTTAGTATTTGTTTCACATCACATTAAAGTAGAAACTTTTAGCTATAGATAATCAATCTGAGGGCCTCAGCTCAGTTGTCAGGCTTCAGACTGTAATAATCCCAGAATCTGAGAGATGACTGAAAAAACAACAGTGCTTTTATTGTTTCGTTTTAATAAGGAGAAACAGAAGTTAACTAGGAGTCCAGAAAACCCCACATTATATGTGTAACAGTTCAAAACTGAGTGAAATAAGAGTTTGATCCTCAAGAAAACATGACTTCATAGTTGTTGAAATATATTTGGCAGCACAGAAACATTTCTTATAGTTGGTCACCAGGTTTGTTCACATCTCAGTATGGATTCTGGCCCACTCCTCTGCAGAAACATTATAAATCTTTTAAGTGCTTCTTGGTACAGTATGTCAAAGCTTCAGATTTTGCTCACTCCATCATCCTAAAGAGCTGCTTCTTTAGAAACCCCTTACTTTGTTTGGCAGTCAGTTTTGGGTCATTGTTTTGATGGAAGACCCACTGATGACACATGAAAAGTTGGTTAAGTCCTTTCTGCCATCGTCAAACATATTATTCTGCCACTGACATGTTTGGTGTTTGGTGGACCGCTGATCCAACAAGTGTTCAGTGGGGTTGAGTTCAGGACTGCTGGCAGGTCGTTCCATCCTCTCCACGCCTAAACTCTGGAGGTAGTCTCTGATAAATGAAGATAGGGGATTTCCACTGGTTGCAGAATTTCGTCTCGACATCTCTCTGCATTGAGATTGCCTCCAATGATAAGTCTTATTTTTCAAGTGTGGGAGATACTGCCAAAAACTCAGCTCTACTGCTCATCCCACAAAAGCTTGTTCCTTACAAATGTGGCACCATTTAAAAGGGAAATTAACAGGCTTTCTAACAGCATAAGATTTATTGCCAAAGAAGCATTATTGCAACAAAGAAATAATCGACCAGACACAAATTTACATCCTTTTTTTTATGAATGTCTTCACATGAGTAATTGTCATGTGAACAGGGGGAGTTCGAAGAAATGTATTAGTCATGTTAGATACTGATTTTGAAAGCACTAGACCATTTCCATAATTTTCCTTTTTTACTATTGACTTTTATAATCTATTGTTTGACTATTGTGAAGTCTTGATTAAAATAGTTTAGATACATGCCTGAAACACTATCACAACACATAAAAAACCGTTAATAAAACATAAGTAAAGGTTTTTTGTCTGAGTGTCTGTGATTCAGCCGTAGGCCAGTAGTGGGCGTACCAGGCACTGAAGAGCCATGTATTTATACGCCGGGACTTCCGGTTTTCTTGCCAGCGTTGGTTTCGTGCTTGCACAGACAGCAGTAAACCGGCGTTCACTCCAGTCACTGGTGTTGTATGGTCCATTCACTTCACATTTTAATCTATTCAAATTTTATGTGTTTCGTCACGATTTCAGTTAACGAACACTAAATTTTCTTACAAATGCATGCATCAAATTTGCTAAAACAATAATGCAGAATGTAGTTTTATTGAATAAATGGTCAGAATTTCAGTAAATTTTCCCTCATTAGGAATTTTCTATTGCTTACTGTTAAGAAGACCTCCAATATGTGGGTCCAGTGGACGTGTTTCAGAACCTGAAGTGTATTATAACAGAGAAGATGGTGCTAAAGTGATGAACTGTTTTCTTTTGCAGAGAAAAGCTTCAGTTTCTTTATTATAACAAGATTTTAAATGAGTCCAAAGTTTTAGTTTCGTAGCTTTTTTCATGCAATAGAGCAGGTTTGTCTCTCGTGGCATCTTTTCTATCTCCTGTCAGCCTTTATTTCCTCATGTATGTGCGTGTGTGTGTGTGTGTGTGTGTGTCACCCCTCACTCACCCCAGCTCTCCTCTCATTGGTCGGGTTCCACAGGTGGCAGCAGAACCCAGGAGAGCTCCACAGAAGAGGAGGCTCATGGGTAGCCACGGCCCATCAGGTCTCTTATTTAAGAGACAAAGACAACAAATGAAACCACATCCAGAGGGTTTTTTCTGTTATTTTTTATTGCTAAATATTCCATGGCTGGAGCGTAGTTTGTGGAGAACACCGGAGGAGGGATTTTATTTTGAAATCCTGTTTTATGTAGACCTCCTGCTCATGTTTCGTCTCCACCTTCATTCCTTTCTTTGGTTTCAGTTCAGTGATTATTTCTGATGTTTCTGTATATAAGTTTGTATAAACATAGAGACTGAAGACAGAGGTGAACCTCAGAGTATATGTGATGTCATGGTTTCAATAATCGAGCCAAACTGAAGCGTTTTTTTGATGAACAAACTTTGACAGTTCTGCTGGAAAATGGAAGAAAAGTTGAGTCGCTGTATGGAAACTTCTTCACTCCTCCTGACAGACTGGTGTTAAAAAAACACTTTATTCGATCTGTTTGAGGTCATTTTATAGTGAAAGTGCTTTGATTTGATCGACCTGTGAATATTTAGCCCTAAATGATAGTGAGCTGTCCTGGGTCCTTACTTCAGCCCTGAGAAAAGATGCTGAACACAAGAAAATATTTCTACACCTTTTATATCTCAGCTAAACTTAAAGGAGATTCAGTTACATTTAGAGAAAAGATATACAGACACCTGCAGAAACACTAACAAGAGTTGTGCTGTACCCTAATAATAATAATAATAATAATAATAATAATAATAATAATAATGAGAAGATTAAGACAGAACTGTTGTCAGAATTGTTTTTATCACAGAGCAGTTGTGTCTGATCCTGAACCTGGATCTGCACCATCCTGCATCTGTTTGTTGTTTTCATGACTCCAAACAGCATGAGAAACATGTGACACGTGTGGGATAGTGGTCCTCCAGAACCAGGACAGGACACCTTTGCTGTAGCTGGACAGCTACACATCTCAGAGTAATTTCCATTTGTATATATATTTAATTGAAGTAATCTATAAAATATATTATAACCTATTCCAGGTTAATGCAAATAAAACTCAATTATTTATTAGATTGAAGTTAAGTCCGTTTTTTCCTCTCATCTGTCACCAACTGACCCTTGACCTCTTGATTTATTTTATATAATCAGGTTTTACTGAAAATAAAGCTTTTTTATGGATTGAAACTAACAGATTAATAAATAAATGTCTGCTTTTACCTAAAAAAAATGAAATATGCTAGTGGTTGGAGAGGGATCACCTGTTTCATTTTGTTTAAATGGTGCCTTTCTTCCTGGGTTTCAGCTCTAAACTTGTGTTACTAGTTTTTACTTTTTTCATTTCTCTGGGTGCCAAAGTTACCTATTTATGCATATGAGTGTGTGTCTGTGTGAGTGTGTGTGTGTGTGAGTGTGTACTTAAGCATTTGTCCATTTGAACAACAAAAGTCTCTGATGTTGGTTAAAAAGAGTCCTTTGTTGAATTTATGGGAACTTGTCATCTCATTTGAACTTTTAGAGCTTAATAATGCTTAATAATAATAAGTTATAATGTGACAAGTTAAAGGTGTCTCCATGGTCTGTCTGTTCATCAGAGGGTTCAAATTGGAAAAAAATGGAATAAAAATTAAGTTTGAACCTTAATATGGGTTGATACCCGACCAGCTGGTCTGTGAAAGCAGGAAATGTTAGCTTTTTTTTTTTATTTAACAGGAAAAGATTATTAAAAATCAAGCCTGACTCAGCATAATTGCTGTTTTACAGCAGGTTCCTGTTCTGCAGCACATAAAACACTCAGAATTACAGCATCACAATCACATCATTATACACCACAGACATGAAGACAAACAAGCATACCAAATTTCAGAAAGGCAGCATTTGCAAAATAGGACGTCTAAATATGAGCACAACAAAAAGTGTCCAGCAGATGGSAGACAAGATTCTTCTTTTATTATTGTTATTATTATTATTATTATTTGACACCAAACTTTGACTAAACTGGTAAGAAAGAACTTCAGAATTCATCAACATATAAATTTGTGGTGAGAAAGAGTATTTTATCAAATATACTGGTCGGTTTGTGAACGAGTTGTATTCTCAGCTGACCGTTCTTTGAAAGCTCATGTTCTTGTGTTCACGGCTTGTGGCGCTGCATTCTTGGCCTCGCACATTATTCTGTAGTCCTCCAGTAAACAGCAGCTCTGTTGAACTTTGAGTCGTTGCGGTTTTGGAGAAAAGATTGGCACACACGAACAAGTTTCTCACCAACAAGTTTGTCTGCGCCGATGACTCCTGGATATCTTTGTTTCCAGTTGTGTGAAATAATAATAATAATAATAATAATAATAATAATAATAATAAAAAGAAGCAGAGTAGAAACATTCAGTGCTGTTCATGTTGCGGTTTGTTCTGCCAGAGTTTGTGCACAGGGGCTAGGATTTGTGGATCATGGGAACTCATTATAAAGTTGGCCCCTATAGGGGCCCCTCAGACCTAACAGTGAGCTGAGACTGGGTGTCTAAACACTACATCGGGTCCAGCTTCTGAAGCAGACAGATCTGATCAGACTGAGCTTCTGTTCTGGAAGGTTTCAGTTGGGCAAAAGTCTTAAGCTCTAAAGCACCTTGTTTTTTGTCCCGTTTGTGTTTTTCACTCAACATTCCTCCTCATCCTTTCATCAGTATGTGTGTTTATGAGTCCAACATTTCAATATTTCATGGCCGCGTTCAGTGTTCACTCCATGTTGTATTTCCAGTACCTGTCAATTATTCTAACGTGTGTTTAACAGATCAGAAATGCTCTGTAAATAACTTGTGTTCAGTTATGTTTTATATCAATGATGAGTAAAGATCAAGTATCCTGTTTTTATTGGGATGGTTTGGATTTTTTCTGTTTTATCTTGGAGATGGAGTAAAAACACATCAAGTCCTGGCTGGAATCTGAAACATGGTTCAGTTTGTTCTCAGTATGAATGTGAAAGATTTAAAAAGCAGAGTTCTGTGCAGAAAGAAGCAAAGACTAGATTCTTTCTACAGCAAAATGTACTAAAACCAAAAACTAATCAAGACCTTCATAAAGGACCTGAGGGAGTTTTTCAGACCGCTTTCTGTTTTGTTAAAGCAGATCTTTTCTGCTGCATCCATCCACACACAGACCTGATGAGGTAAAAAGTGTCTGTGAGTGGACAGGAAACTTAAAAATGATGATGCAGCAGTTCTTTCCTGTCAATACGTGCCGTAGAAACCAACAGTAAAGCTGAAATAGTTTTAAAACTGAGAGAGAACTATAACAACGGTCAAAGAAATGTACACATTTTTGGAGAATCTTTAGCCAAGCCAAAGGCCGGCTCCCACTAACATTTTAGACAACTGATGCTAGCTTGTGAAAATGTCTGAAGATGTCTAAACTGAAGATGGGATAAAAAAAAATCTACAAGTCCCTTTTGGACCTATAGTTACTGTAATTAGATTGAACACAAAGCCGCTATGAATAAAATAGTCATAACAAAACTTTCATAAGTTGACATACAAAGTGTAAAACATTATATTGTGACAGGACCTTTAGCAGGTTTGTTTTTGGTAGTTCTCAGGACCTGATGACTCATCAGGGAGATCAGAGTGTTTTTAAGAATCGGGCCAACTGTGGAGCAGTTGAGACCCAGAGACACTAACAGGTCAATGAGAAAAGATCACAAAAAGTTCTGATCTGACTTTTATTTAAAAGGACTTTAATGTATCTATACTTATTTATTCTGATCACTTCTGCTGAAGGACATTTGGGCCCTGTCTATAAATGTTTTTTTTTTCTAACAGATAAATCTTTATACGCCCATCACCACCCTCACCTCCCAGCACTTCACACCAGTTGGACAGAAACCCTGAATTACTGGTGTTCTGCCACCAGGGGGCGAGAGTGACATAATAAAATATAAGGAAAACAACTTTATAACCTGATGACTGACTGCACACCTCTGGTCCTGGAGGTCCACCATCCTGCAGGGTTTAGACCAGAGGTGCCCAAAGTGGGGCCTGCGGGCCAAAATTGGCTCAACAAACCGTTTGATTTGGCCCACCAGCAATTACTAGATTGTAATTATATTAAGATATAAATGTCTCCTGTAGTTACTTGTATTTTATATTTAATCTTAATATAATTACAATCTAGTAATTGCTGGTGGGCCAAATCAAACAGCTTGTTGAGCAAATTTTGTCCCGGAGGTATGGAAGTAAATATGTGCCATCAGAATTTGAATAAAAAATGCATCTGAATTCAAGTTTTAAAAAATTTCAGTGTCATTATTTGTACATGTTTGCAATTTTCATTTAAAAAATGCATCTGAATTCAATTTTTAAAAAAAATTCAGTGTCATTATGCTGGTATTTCTTAAAAATGACACTTGCGTCATGTGATTGGCTGGGTGTTGAAATCTGACAACGATTGCTAATGTCTGTGACCTGAAGTAACCTTGCCATTTTTGTACAGCGAATTTTTAGACGCTGAATTTGAGACGGCGAATTTGAGCAAGATGAATTTTTAGGACACTGAAAATATTGCATTTGAATTTTTAAAAGTTGAATTTTTTATATATGCTGAATTTTTTTTAACACTGAAAAAATATATATATTGAAAATTTTATCTTTGAAATAGGAATGTGAATTTTTTTAACATATGAAAATTGCAAACATATACAAATAATGACACTGAATTTTTTTAAAAATTGAATTCAGATGCATTTTTTATTCAAATTCTGATGGCACATATTTACTTCCATACATTTAGATTAGATTTAAGTCCATATCTAGATTTGTACACCTTATAAGACCCCGTATACTCTAATTTTAAATCATGAAAAGCCCCATGAGCCTTTTTCTCCATGTCCATGGGCTAAAAAAAAAGAAGAATGTAGGCAACCACACTGGCTGCTAGCTTAATCATAAAAAATAAAACAACTTTACTTACCAAGTATTTTTATTTCGTATATTATTGCGTTTGGCCCGCAGCCCTCAGATTGATTTTAAATTTGGCCTTCTCAGGGAAAATGTTTGTGGACCCCTGCTTTAGACAATGGGGTCCAGTCCTGGTCCTGGAGGATCACCATCCTGTCTGTTTCAGAGGGTTCTCTGCTCCAACACACTTGACCTGAATGAATGGGTGATAAACAGACTTGTGTAGAACTTGAAGAGGTATTTCAATCACTGAACCAGGTGTGTTTGAGCAGGAAGCAGGTAAAATACAGGATAATGGCCGTCTAGGACCAGGAACTGGACCCCCCTGGTCTAAGCTCTGTGCTAAAGATTCTCCTGAAACTATTGAAGCTTCTTTTCATTTCTTTTTATTTCAGCACAGTCAAAGGTTTATGGTGATCAGGATTAGGGCTATCACAAACGATTATTTTAATAATCGATTAGTCGTCGATTAATCGATTAATCATGGCAGCCCTAATCAGGATTAATGGAAACAGATGTTAAACAAACAGACAAACAAATAAAAGCAGCTGCAGGAGTGTTTTGGGTTTGGAGGTTCCTGCTGTGTCACTGTTTGTTTCCTGTCCACACACAAACACCTGAACTGAGCTTTTATAAACCTGGCATGTATGAGACGCAGCAGAAAAACTTATTCGGTGGTTTTAGAACATTGTGGACAGCAGCTTTTTAACATCATCATAAACATTAACATTACTTTTTAATCAGCCATTGTTCTGAATTCTTTGTGTTTGATTTTTTTGATCGTTCATTTCTGCTGATCAACTTGAAGAAACTGAAAATGTGAGCGTTAAAATACGTTTTACTATTTGTACCATTCCCTCATATTTCATGTCTCAAAAAAAAAATGCAGTGGGTTTGGTTTTAATGTAAATTTTAGGAGGAGAATTAGACTTAGAATTGCATTAGAAGCTCCTTGTAGTGAATTAGATGCTAATAAATGACAACCACAAATTCTGCTTAATATTAATAATAAACACATGAAAAGTTGTGATGATAAATACTCTATGATTTTGATTAAAAGCATTGTTCAGCTGTCTGAGACACATGACCCTGTAGGTGTAGAAACATAAATAAATAAAACTCTGAACCTTTAGAAACCCAGCCCTGTTTGAACTCCTTCAGTTTGTTCATAACTTTCACATCTAAAGATTTTCTTCTTGATGTTAAAGAAAAAGTGAATAAGAACTTCAACAATGACTAATGTAGTTCAAACCAAGATGTTTCAACCCTGTATGTTCAAAGCCTCAGACTCACACATCTCTCCTGTGGGAACAAACCTTTACACACCTCGTCTCTGTAGTTGATATAGATGACTCACTCCACAAGATAAAGGTTCTGAACTGAAACAGGCTTAAAAAGTTCAAACCTTCCTCTCATCATCGCTTAATCTAGTCTTCCTAAATCAGGGGTGGGCAATCCTGGTGCTCGAGGGCTGCAGCCCTACATGTTTTACGTTTCTCCTGGCTCCAACACCTGATTCAGTCACTGATTTACCTTCCAAGTTCTGCTGTATGGAGGACCAAAACTGACATAATTATAAATAAA